CAACAGCACTCACTGCCTCGCAGCCGGAGCAGACAGTCAATTGTGTCCCCTTCCTCTACGACTAAGTCTATTGGTCAGCACCCATCATCTCCATCCAATGACTTTGACTGGGACCAGTTAAAATCTGGTCCAAAGTCAACAAAGGGAAGTAAGACCGGAAATGGGACATCGAACAGCAAAGGAGGAATCGGAGACAAGAAAAAAGTCAAGAACAGCGGATCAACCCAAAGTCAGGTTCTGGAGTACGAGATGACACAGTTTGACAAGAGGATGGCTCTCAACAAATCAGTAGCGAACATTTCAGTGAAGGATCCCCATTGCAAGATCGTGATCGGTGGTTCAAATCGGCAGGAAAGGGGGCAGAGCCAGGATCAATTATTCATCCAGCAGCAGAGCTGCTCTGAGAAGAGGAGGAACGGCATCATGACCAACCCCAAATATCATCAACAGGGTAATCAGGTTTTCCTGAGTAGGGTATCGGTTCCTCGGACTGTACAGAACAGAGGCCACCAGGATGTTCTAGAGAACTATCCCATTGGGGAAACAGAACTAAGCCTTAAACAAGCCCTGAAACTGCAGATTGAAGGATCAGACCCTGGGTTTAACTACAAAAAGGAGACTCCGTTATAGCTGGTAAGAGATACTTTTCAAAATAGTCCTTAAGAATTTAATCTTGTGGCGAAAACATCAAGCATTTGTCTCAAAGTTCAAATGAAGTCAGGGTGATGTCACGTAGGCAAGGCTTGTCTCTTCATTTGCAGTGGCTAATAATTAGGCTGATAAGTGACTTTTAGTTAGCACTCTACTGCACTCAAAACAACCGTTAGTAATTGGAGTTAATCAGACTTGCATGAATAATGCTTCAATCTGGATAAGCAGACGTTTTGCCCTCCCAAACAACATTAACCCAGATCATTCCTGTACTGTTTCAGCTGTCTTGAATGCCATTCGTCATGCAGACATTGGAGGGAATGTGCCAAAGCAACTGTTTTCATCTGCGTAAAAAAAAAATACTGGATGTTTTTTCTCATCATGGGGAGACCTCAAAACAAAACCAAGGGACGATTGTTGAATGCAGCTTATGTGAACTGATACATCGATGTGCCTACATCTGTTACAGCCTTCTTCATGTATTCATGCAAACTATCATTTTAATTTAATGTAATGCTATTTAATAAACAGTGTATGCACTTTTAAGAGTAAAATGACAGACATGCATTTGTTCTATTCACTTTGTATCCCATCCATGTTTTATCAAAGTAACTGTTTGAGAGAAACATACCAATGTTTTTTTATTATGTTATATTATGTTTGTCTCTTTGTTCACACTGACAGCAATGTACCACTGAGTACATTGTCACAAGACCAGAGGACATAACAGTAACTCATGCCGTGGTATGATTTCTAAAAGCATTGATAGTCTGCCTTTCTAGAGACCCAAACAAATCTGTGTTAACCGTGGATCAGTGTGCTAAGCCTACGTTGTGTGTAATATGTTAATAGCAATGGCAATTTTCATAACAAGCATATATACAAGCATATTTATTTTTTGGAAAAAAGCCACTTTTGCTCCATTTTTTTTGTTGCATTACGCTAAACCATGGTGCTGTGTTCAGAAGTTGCCTGCAGTTATTTTTGGACTCCCAATTTTGTTGGTTTTGTGTATTATTACAAATATGTAAGAAAGAGGGAGGTTCATTTCAAATGTAAAAAAAAGTTCATTTTGTCCCTATGGGATTTCTCAGTTGCTTGTGTGTTATTATTTTGTGTTTGCGTAAAACTATTTAAATAACCCATTGTGTACCGTCAGCAAACGTCTGGTGCTAAATGCAGCAATTTCAAGTGAAAGCAGTGTTTTAAAAAAATTACAAAAAAACAAATACATCTGTCTGCAGAGTTACGTGTACTGCAATGCAAGAAACAAAATCAAAGCTTTGTTTCCTTCTTGTCATGTGGTTCATTTCCAGTCATTCCTGCTGGATTTTTTTCAGGAGCATGGCACAAAATGGTTTAAAAAGGGTTCAGCCATCAAGACGACACATAGCTGTGAATGATATGCAGAGTTGTAAAGCCAAAGTTTGATCCAACGTAATTCTGTCCCACCTCCTCCCTGTGAGAAGCTGGAAATCGGTTCAACAGGACTTAACCCCTCGAGAGAGGAAGGGGGGGAGGTGCTCGACTGTGACGCTGAGGGAACTGAAACATCTGTTTCTCATGAACTGTGTGGAGAGCTGCGTTAGCGTTTACAGGCTCTGTCATATTTTTACAGGCTTTTCATTTTGTCAACAGTGAGCTATTTTTTGCCAAGAACTAGGATCGGGGGGGGGGAGTAGAAACGTATCGCATGCACAAACACTCAAAAGCCCTAGTGAAAGCATCAGCTCTTCAGTACTACAGTAGCTCAAACGTCCGCCATGAAGGGTCATTAGAAGGATTCAAGGCAGGATGGGGTCTAGAAGCAGTGTTGGAAAACATTCTGTATAGTCTTATTCAGCAGTTTCTCGTTTGTCTTGACTGTGTTTCGTCATCTTTGAGTTGACTGTCAGTGATTGGATTGTAAATAGCTTAACATGTAAATTCAACCTTCATTTAAAAATAATTCCTGTATTATATGAAGTGGAATTTTCTGATGTATATTAAAGTGCTTAATAAACATATTTGCTTTACTGCTGAAAAATAAATGCCTTTTTTTTGATAATTTATTTACATGCTAATAAAATGTGATCTTGCCGGTGGACATTTAAATTCATGTTTAGTATGTGATGGTAAAATAAATGGATTTCTTTGAGCCGAATACTCCTGAATCCAAGGCCAACCAATAAAAAATGTCCTATAATATGCCATTCATTTTTAATTGAATGACCAATTTATATATTATAAATACATTTTATAATACATTTCGTAGTATTGTATGTCTTAACAAACAATTAGGTATATCAGAAAAACTGCCAAAGG